AACTAGTGTTTTACTTTAATCCATTTGTGATTTTCCTTAGCATTATATTCTCATGGCGTTATTATAAATGCCACGTGGGGCAAGGTACAGGGTGGGTGTGAGGAAGCTATGCCCTACCATTAGTCTTTTGGGGTCCTTTTAAGTCATTAACTAAAGGTGTTCGCTGTAGTTTCCTTGACTTTTAGGGCAGGTTTAGGCCAGAGTTGGTTTTTCAGCAATAAAATATTGCCTATTGAAGCCCGCCCACTCTGGAACCACTGCCCTTGTTTAAAACTGCTAATCAGTCCAAAGAAAGATCTGTTCTGATGGTGAGAGTACCATACTGTGCATGTGCATGTGCGTGTGTGTGCAAATACCCACTAATAGCAGACAACGTGCTGCCACACTCTCCCAGCAAGCATTTAAATACAACCTTCGCCCTAAAACCCAAGCACAACGTTTGTTAGCGGTTGCTTCGTAGAGGACCATGGAGCAGTCACCGAACAAGTTACTTCCTAAAACATATGTGACGAGAAGTAAAAGCAATAAAGGACCTTCCAGGCCTTCATGCCCTAGATGTGCCCCCCATCCCTCCCAGAGGTGGTCCCCACCTGGTTACTCGCGTGGGGCTGTCTGGGGCCCTCTACACAAAGGGACCTGCCTCATGACCGTCCTGCTGTCCTTCCAGCCCTGCTTGAAATCAGACGGGGACAGCCTCCCCTAAGTCCCAGCCTGGAGGACAAGCCAGTTCTAGGGGCATCAAGACGCAGTAGAACCTGCCCATCAGCAGAGGTCAAAGCCTGCAGGGACACAGAGATACACTCCCAGGATGAGAATATTCTTCATCCAAGAGAATGCTTTTTGTGGGTGATGAGAAATTAGGGGACACTATGGGACTTGGGTAGTTTAACCTACTTATAAGTTACACGTGAAATGTTGGAGGATTTGCCTTTTTTTTTTTTTTTTAATAAAACACCCTCCTGATATACTGTGCATAGCTTGTTTGCAACTGAAGGCCCCAGAGCTATAGAATACTCTCAAGATTTCTGGGTAGGGGCTTTAATTAAAAGGATGATGAATACCAGCCCCCCACCCCAGGAATAGAGTTCAGGCATTGATGCTGGTGTTTGGGGCCCCAAATTACCTCAACTTGCTCACATACAGCCTTTTAACTCCTGAACATCCCACAGGTAAGGGCCATGAGAGAGGCAAGGCAGGGGTTGGGACTCGGAAGCAGGTGACTGTTGCTGTCTCAGCTCGGGGAAGGAGGCGACTCCAGAAATCACATCCAGGAAGGGTAGCACGTGGACCAGAGCGGGACAGAGGGCCAACGTGACTGCAGCTGGTTCTCAGGTGGGTCCAGGTAAAACCTGGGGCTGGAGCCCTCACTACACTAGCTGCCACACCAGCTGTCAGCCCAGGGGAGGGCTGGGGGCTCGCCGCGCCAGGGTGGCTCTGACTCCACCAAATCGAGGCTTATCTGAACGGGATCTAAGTGGCTGTCACCACTGCACTCTGTCACCCCAGGCAAATGGCCGGGCTACAGCAGGTGCCAACAGCCAGCTCTTCAGGAAGATTCACAGAGCCTGGACCACAGGCCTACCAGGTCCTTCCCCTGTGGGTTGAACAGGACACGACAGGCATAAAGGGACTTGGGCTCCAAAAGACTGACTTGCGACTGTCCCCGACCTTCCATGAGGACGTGTCAGACAATGACAGCAGTTCACTGAATGCACACAGCTTGCCCTGCCCCCGCCCCCTCAGCCACAAGAGCAGCCTCTTCTGGGAACCCGTAACTGCCAGCACAGAGCCTCACCCACCACTTCCACCCCACTGGGCCCGAGGACAGCAGGCCAGCGTGATGTCTCAGCACAGGTGAAGGCCCCGGAGGACGTGCACAGGGCAGAGCTATAAGTGGCTTTCCCAGGGCTGTGTGAACCTGAGGGCCCTGTTCACTGTCTGAGCATCTCCTGGAGCTGCAGAATGAGGGAAGCAATATCTTCTCCGGCCAGCTCGGCCCCTGGAACCGAGTCACCCGGAACGTCTTTGTCCAGCAGCGGGTGGCACCTGGGATCCCCAGGGCACAGTCACCATCCACCCAGCCCTGGGGTTTGCGGTGTGGTGATCTAGCCAGGCTCCAGGGCATCTCTGCACCGTCACAGCACTGCTCTCTGAGGCAGGTTTTCTCCTCCCCAGTTTTTTAATTTAATTTATTTTTTATTGGCGTATAGTTGATTTACAATATTGTGTTAGTTTCAGGTATACAGCAAAGTGATTCAGTTATACATTTTTTTTCAGATTCTTTTCCTTATAGGTTATTGCAAAATATTGAGTCTATTTCCCTGGGCTATACTGTAGGTCCTTGTCAGTTTCTATTTCCCCTCCCCAGGTTTTAACAGTTGTTCCCTAGGTGGTCCAGCTGGTAATAGAGATTGGCTACTTCCTGCCCAACAATGCCGTTTCCTCTGATTCCGTCTCATTTTGCATCAACTTATCCATGATTTTACTTAATAGTCTGCTTCTGATGATACCCAGCTTTCTGCATTCCCATTTTTAGTCAATGCTAAATTTTCCCCGGGCTCAAAAACAGATCCCAAACCCACTTTCTTACTTTAAACAGGAAAAGAAGGAATATTTACTATGAGTTTCTTCCTGCATATGTAATTTCAATTCTAAAAGTCTATGGAAGTTATTAGAAAACTGTAGATTACCATCTCTAATTCTTCATTCTTCCAAATATGATACCTATTTGTACCTTATTTATTTCCTGTTGTGTGCTCTGCATCCCAGGAAAACAGGCTATGAGGCTTCAAAACAAGATAAAAATCCAAGATTTTTAAAAATGTTTTATTAATGTCATCTTATTATACCTCTTATGTTTCTACATCTTAATTTTTTACATATCTTTCCAGAATAACCTTAGAGCTTTTTTTAGGAGATAGATTTCCCTCCATGTGATCATTAGTCATTTTAGGGCCATTTAATGAAGAAATACTTTCTCCTTCCAGGATATTATCTACAATTGCGTTAAAATTATTTATACTCAACATGCTTCAAAAATAATAAGATCCCACAGACAAAGTCCTGAGGTGAGATATATGTGACTGTAATCTTTGCTAAAAACAAACAACAGTGGCAGGTCGGTCTCTAAGTATAAAATTCACCTGGTGAAATTTACCCCACGTGAACCTGTCACAAGGTTGCGGAGTTTACATCCCACCAAATGGGAACAATTATTCTAAGACTATCTGGCTGGCGTGACGGTAAAAGAAGGAATTTCCCTTGATTTCTTGCCATTTCTTTATTCCATAATCACCCTTCATTTAGTCTAGAAACAGAAGAAATCAGAAGGACTTCAGAAACAGAATCAGCTACCAATCGTCAGGTCATAGGGTTCTGGTGGATGGGTGACCCCTTCTGTCCTAGTGACTCTGATAGATAAGGAGGACTGTGGAAAGGGGGGTGTGATGGGAGTGGACGCACCTTGAGGGCTCTTCCTTTGTGTGAGCACCGCGAGGGGTCACTCAAGGAGTAAGTGACTCACACCTCCTGCCAAGGACGCCCATCTTCACACCAGCTCTAAGCCTGTCTCCACCGGGCAGGGTGGAAATAAGAGAGAAAGACTTCGGGGCCAGGGGGAGATGTTCACACTCCTGGTCAGAGAGGCTCTGTGAAAACCCGCGGAGCGCAAACAAGTGTCTCCAGAAGGTACGTGGGTTTCGATCAAAGGAAGGGGGAAAGGATCTTCCCAACAGAGAGAACGACAGGAGCAACGGCGGAGAGGGAGCAAAGCACAGGGAGTATTCCGGGGCCAGCGAGGACTCAGCGATTAATCCCAGATCTCTGAGAAACAAATCCCATCCCAGTTTCTCACACTAGGAGGGACCTGCATTGCTCCTTCTTGAACCTGTTAATCCTAAGAACCTCGGCATCTGGCTTCCTTGTTCTCGCCTCATTTGGTGAAAATGACAGAAGGAGCGTGGTTAAGAAAGTACGTTTCTTAATTTAGCTGCGCAGCTATTAGACTAATCCTGCTGCACCTCCTCCTCCAGTTCACTAATCACTTTCAACACCATTAGCTGTAGCTTCTCGCAGCCCTTAGATGAATTTATAGTCACCATCGACTCAGCACAATCACACTAAAAACAGTAAGACTAATTATGGCCGTGGTCTAGGATCTGTATGCAGAACATGGAAATGATTCTCTATTACCTACCATTGCTGTTTTCCAGCTCAGTGAAAGATTCATCACCAAGCAAACGCAAATCAAAATACGGACTTAAGTATTTGTGAGTTAAAGGTCAGGTACAAGGTGGGTAAAGAACATGATTACCCAACATATAGGGGTCCAACAGATGAATAGATTTCTCACAGTTACCAAAACCATCCAAATACATGTTTCTCTGGAGGAACCCAAGGAGGAAAGGTGCACATAACTTGCAATGAGGCCCACTTCTGAAAACAGCTACCCAGTTTGACACCAGGGAGTTGTGTGAAGTGGCAAAGGAGGCTGAACTCAGAAGATTTTCAACAGTTTATGTTAGTAATTTCCATATTATTTATGGCATTCTTATGTATGTATTTTCATGTATGTCCTTAAAACCAATACAAAATTGAAACCATGAGCCCAGAGTTGATCAGAGGTCTCAGGATAATGCGTCCCTACAGAAGCCAGTTTCTCTAGTTTATCAATGAGCAGAATTAGCAGGAGGAAGGGAAGCATCAGGTTTCCCTTTAATAGAATATCCAAAATCCTGCAGGAAGGTCCCAGACGCAGTCTTGCACTAAAGCGCCCTAGTCTGAGGCATCTTAAGGCCGACCATCGAGCCCAGAGGGCAGGTAAAGTGAGTGTCATGAACAATGATGAGCGTTTCATTTCAAACTAGTTCACCAACGAAGGAATCACCAATCTTTACCTCTACCAAAAAAATTCTTCTCTGATTCTCTGCATCAGACCAGCGGGCCCACTAACAAAAGGTTGGGAAAGTTGCCTCCAGTTTGGGAACTTCTCAGGGTTCTCCCTATGCCCGCAAAGCGTATTTGTTCTCCAACAAAGAACCAAGGCGCTGGTGGGCGCCACGGGTCACGGGAATCCTGGAAATGGACATCCGCCCGCCGCAGGTCGTGGGCCTGTGCTTGTCCGACTGGCTCACGCGATCCTCGCGAAGCCTGGGAGGCCGGTGCTTTAACTGCCCCGGTGTTAAGACGAGGACACTGGGGGTTCATAAAGAATATCAGAAAGGTGTTCTTATAGCCCAGAAAGTCACCTCCTCTTTGTACCCTTAACGTGTCCTCTCGTTGCCTTGAAAAGCGGCCTGAGACCGGGTGTTTTCCACCCGTGACACGCACCGCAGTGGCGAAGGCACCCAGGAGGAGGGGCCCCCGCCCGGGTCTCAGGTGGACATGCAGCTCCTCCTCCAGCATCTTATAGGGAGAGAAGATGTGAGAGCAGGGGAAGCTCGGCTCACGTGCGGGTAACAAGAGTCCACGTGCAGGGAACACTGCAGCTGTGCCACACACATTTCCCACCCACCTTAGCTGTCAGGTCCAAAAATATGCACAGTTGACCCTTGAACAAAATGGGTTTAATGGCATGGGTCCATCTACACGCGACTTCTTTTCAACAGTAAATACGTATGGGTCTACGGCATTGGAACCACAGTTGGTTGGTTGAATCCACGGGTGCAGAACCTCGGGTACTTAGACCAGCCAGTGACTATAAGTTATACACACTTTTTGACTGAGCAGAGAATCGGCACCCCAGCCACTCATTGTTCAAAGGGCAGCTGTATTTGTTGATGTGCATTCCAACCGACAGGAAAATTAGTCTTTAAAGACAAAAACACTTTTTTTTTGAATTTTTGAATTTTATTTTATTTCTTTTTTATACAGCAGGTTCTTATTAGTTATCCATTTTATACATACTAGTGTATATATGTCAATCCCAATCTCCCAATTCATCCCACCACCTCCCCCCTGCCACTTTCCCCCCTTGGTTTGTTCTCTACATCTGTGTCTCTATTTCTGCCTTGCAAGCCGGTTCATCTGTACCATTTTTCTAGATTCCACATATATGCGTTAATATACGATAATTGTTTTTCTCTTTCTGACTTATTTCATTCTGTATGACAATCAAAAACACTTTCTGATTCGGGTCTGATTCCCCCAAACCTGCCCCACGCCTGGCACTTGGTGGATTTATTGAATGCAGTCGTCCGAATGAATAGGTGAGTGACTGAGCCTTGCACTCAGTAATCCACAGGACATTAGGGCCTTTTTAAAACCAACAGCTCCTGTGTCTGATCAACTATTTCAACCAGACTCAAGTAAATGGCGAAATGTAGTGCATTAGACTGCATTTCTCTACCTAAGCCGTGTCATCACCAGGCTTACTTTTCAAAGTTTCCATTTTTAGGGCTCAGGGGCCCAGTACCTAAACCCCAAGGCACCCACACTCTTCTGTCACCAGCATGGGGGGATCAGGGTCATTAAGTCCCGACTGTGTTCTGAGCTTTTGCAGCAATTGAAAAAGTGAATTAAACGTATCGATAAGTGAGGCGAACAACGTTTTCTAGGCTGAATGCTGGGGTAGAACTGACAGGAATACAGCTCATCATGTTGAAGCAACTGAGAAAAACACATGGAGAAGAAATAAAACAACATAAAATATAGCTGGGACTCGCAAATGATAAGCAATTTATTTTCCTTTCACACCATATTGGATCACAGAGAAGAGTGATGTCATTATTTTATTATTTATAACTACTGGGACCTAGACATCTGAGATTTGGCTGAGGTATCTGGATTTCAGACCATTTGTTTTCTGCTTTTATCATTAATCATTCCTCTAGCCAAACACTGAAGCTATGGAAATACAGAGTTCCCAAACTCCCAGCTGTTGTGAGCATGGAAGACTTACTGCCAAACAGCATGTTTGCTCGTGCAGCCTTTGGGCCAAAGATGGTGTAAACACTTATCACTGTGCAGTCCTAGTGCTGCAAGGAACATCAGGGGTCATCCAGGCCTCCCCCTCACTTCCCAGGTGAAGAGGACAACAGGATGTAGGCAGGGACCAAGAAAGCACGAGCCTTGGCCAGACTCCCCCATCTCTGAAAGGCATGACTTTGGTGAGCAATAAACACGCTCCCAGACTATTTCCTTATTTGCAAAACCCTCACCCTCATCCTCATCACCATCATGGTACCTCCTTCCTCTTTTTTTTTTTTTTTTGGTACGCGGGCCTC